TTCTGAGAAGTCTCTCTTTAGTTCCCTTGCCCATTTAGTAATTGGTTTGTTAGGTTTGGGAGGGATTAGTTTCTTGACTTCGCTGTATATACTGGATATTAACCCCTTGTCTGATATATTGCTGGTAAATATTTTTTCCCAGTTAGTCCATTGTCTTTCTAGCTTGATTGCTATAGCTTTAGCTGTGCAGAAACTTTTTATTTTAAAGTAGTCCCATTTGTCCGAGTCTCTCTCCAATTTATTGTGACCCTGGGACTCCGTTCAGGAAGTTTCTGCCTGTGCCTATAAGTTAAACAAAGGAGCTCAGAAACATTACCCAGGATCTGAGTTCAATCAAGCCCAGTGTAAGGTCTACACAGGGACTCCTCCCTACCACTTGGCTAAGTTTCTGCCCAGTATCTGTTACCTAGGTAACTGCCATACCTGGAAGCAGTCACCTGCCCCTTCTGCCTCCCATCTGACCACAAGAGGGTCCCAGGCCCTGAAGTCATATCTGGATCCGGTGTGGCCACACCTTTCCCCCACCTGGACACACCTCTTCCTGTCCTTGGCCTAGATAAGTCCTGGCCTGGGGTGGGTCTCCCCTTCCTTTTCAGCCATGCCTCTCCACCATGCACAGAAGGGGGGCGGCAGTTTGGTAAATAATTTTCTTTTCCTGCCTGAATAGCACGTGGTGTTCTCTTCATTGGCTACCTAATGAAACCTACCTATTTAATATACCTAACATCCAGGACCAGCACAAAAAAGGAAATGTGAGAGAGGTTAAGGCTAGGGTATAGCTTAGCTAGGGTGTTTGCTTAGCAAGGACTAGGTTTTTTTACACACACACACACACACACACACACACACACACACACACACACACACACACACACACACACACACACACACACGTAGGTATTTGACCAGCCACAGGAAATCTTGTTTAGATTATCTACTGAAAGGCCTGAGAAGGAAGGGTGTTTGCTTAGCAAGGACTAGGTTTTTTTACACACACACACACACACACACACACACACACACACACACACACACACACGTACGTAGGTATTTGACCAGCCACAGGAAATCTTGTTTAGATTATCTACTGAAAGGCCTGAGAAGGAAATACACTACTTGCAATGGTTGAATAGACTGATAGCTTCCTATGTCAGCCAGTAGGGGTCACCTTTGAAACACCACATTTTGGAGACTATTAGGCCATGTCATCCAGTCTCCTCTTTTCTTTTTCTTTCTTTCTTTCTATTTTTTTTTTTTGGGGGGGGGTGTCAGTTGTGGGGCTTGAACTCTGGGCCTGGGTGCTGTCCCTCAGCTCTTCAGCTCAAGGCTAGTGCTCTACCACTTGAGTCACACTGCCACTTCTGACTTTTTCTGCTTATGTGGTGCTAAGGAATCGAACCCAACGCCTCAAGTATGCAAGGCAAGTACTCTACCATTGAGCTACCTTCCCAGCCCTCTCTTCGCATTTTAACTAATACTACCCCACTCCAACCCTTCAGAATGATCTATCTTAAAAACTCTGAGCATGTAGCAAGGACTGCTGCCAAGGTTACAGTAAACTCCCAATTGGGCCTGCTTTTCCAAATATTGTACCTCTACTTCTTCAACATCCTCTCACACTCTTGTACTCAGGGCTGGCACTCTACCACTTGAGCCACAACTTCACTTTCTGCTTTTTGCTAGCTCACTAGAGCTAACACTCTGACTGTCTGCTCAGGTTGGTTGGTTTTGAATCTTGCTCCCCAGATCTCAGCCTCCGGAGTAGCTAGGAGGCAAATACCACCCAATTTCCAACATCATATCACATGGTTGTGTCTGCTAACTGCCCCTCAAATGATCATGGCTTGAATTAAGTTTCTGCTGCGTATGCTTTCCTTTTGACTGCCCAGTGGGATTGTAAACTCCGGTAGGGAAAGGATTTAGATCTTTTAAAACACATTTCTCTTTTTCTCAGGACTAGATGCTTCTCTATTACAGTTTACTCTGAAGAGTACTCAGAATAGCACCAGCTGCAAGGAGCTATTTAATGAGAGGATTATTATTTTTTTTTTTTACTGAGATAATGACCATCTTGCAGAAATGATCCTTGTGCATTTTTTGTGATAATATTGATAAGAAAGGAACAAAATGACATTGTATAATGGATCCAAAAAGTCTGAGTTTGAATGCCAGCTCTGTGATGGATTAACTCTGTGACACCACATAGGGAGCAAAGAGCTCCAGATTCCAAGTTGTAGAAGAAAAATGATCTTGGGCCTCACATGTTCATAAGGATTAAGTTACACACTAAAATTTGGTCTGGCACAGCGAATGGCTATCAGAGGCAGTTAATAAATGTTTTTACTAAAGAAAATTTAAAATTCCTATTATGTTTGATTTCATTGTTTTTCTATTTTCTCCTTTACAGGGATCAGGAAGGCTTCAATTATTTCTAATAACTTTGGGCGATTAGCTGTTTTCTGAAAATGAAAAGTTGGTAGACATCATGTTGACAAAGTTTTACTTTCCTCTTCCTCCTTCTCTTCCTCCTCTTCCTCCCCCTCCTTCTCCTCCTTCTTTCCAGTCCTGGGGCTTGAACTCAGGGCCTTGGTGCTGTCTCTGAGCCTCTCAAGGCTGCCCAAGGCTAGCACTCTACCACTTGAGCCTCACCAGCACATCTAGCATTTTCTGTGTATGTGGTACTGAGGAATTGAACCCAAGGCTTCATGCATGCTAGGCAAGCATACTACCATTAAGCCATATTCCCAGCCCTCTTCTTTAGTAATTATAAAAATATTAAGCAAGCCTAGCTTTGGCCAGATGAATTAGGAGAAGGGCAAATAAGGAGGGCAGAGAGAAAGAGAGAATGCTTAGATTAGTAGAAATATGACCCCTTAATCTTCCTTCCTTTCTTTTTCCCTCCCTCCCTTCTTTACTTTCTTTCCTCTTTCTTTTCTTTCTCATTTTTTTATTTATTTTATGTATTTATTTTGTCAGTCATGGTCCACAACTCTGGGTCTGGGCGCTGTCCCTCAGCTATTCAGCTCAAGGCTAGCACTCTACCACTTGAGCCACAACGCCACTTTTTCTGCTTAGGTGGTGCTGAGGAATTGAACCCAGGGTCTCAGGCATGCAAGGCAAGCGCTCTACCACTGAGCCACTTTCCCAGCCCCTCTTTCTTTTCTTTCTTTCTTTCTTTTTTTTGGAGAGGGTGGTCTGGTCGTGGGGCCTGAACTCTGGGCCTGGGCGCTGTCCCTCTGCTCTTCAGCTCAAGGCTAGCACTCTACCACTTGAGCCATAGTGTCACTTCCAGCTTTTTTCTTTTTGCTTATGTGGTGCTGAGGAATCAAACCCTGGGCCTCATGCATGCAAGGCAAGCGCTCTACCACTGAGCCACCTTCCCAGCCCTGCTCTTTCTTTTCTTTCTCTCGTTTTCTCTCTTTTCCTTCTTCCCTCCCTCCTTCTTCCTTCCTTCCTCCCTCCCTTCCTTCCTCCCTCCCTCCCTTCCTTCCTCTCTCCTTTCCTTCCTTCCTTCCTTCCTTCCTTCCTTCCTTCCTTCCTTCATTCCCTCCCTCCCTCCCTCCTTCCCTCCTTCCTTCCTTCCTTCCCTCCTTCCTTCCTTCCTTCCTTCCTTCCCTCCTTCCTTCCTTCCTTCTTTCCTTCCTTGTACTAGTACTGGGGCTTGGCTCAGGGCCTTGAACTCTTGTTTGGCTTTTTCACTCAAAGCTGGTACTCCACCACTTGAGTCACAGCTCCACTTTCAGCTATTTGCTGGTTAACTAGAAATAAGAATCTTACAGATTGGTCTGCCTGGGCTGGGCTTCAAACCAGGATCCTTAGATCTCAACCTCTTAAGTGTCCAGGATTACAGGTATGAGCCACCAGCACCTGCCCCCTAACTTTGCATTTGGGTAGTAAGGCAGTCTCATTTAAGGACTTCTGCCCATATTAGAGAATATTCCAGATTAAGGTTGTGAGTTCCAGAGGCATAGCTACGGCTTTGGTGACAAGCTGGAATTTGCTACAGGATGTTGGGCATGGCTGAAAGAAGACACCAGTAAATGAATCAAGTCTAAACTTTATTTTGCCTAGGAGCAGAATGAAAAATGGCATCCTCTATTTAAATTTTATCCCATGTGTCTTCATGTCCTTCTACTCAAAGCTGCTGCAGAGGTTGCTGGGTTATTGCCTGGTAGGAAGATTCTGCTCACTGTTCGAGACCTCACTTTCAGGAGTTGGCTCTGTCCCTGCCTTCGGGGCATGGCCCCTGTACACACAGGGCTGGAGCTGCTTCTGTAAGTATAGTAAAACTCCATTAATCTGATGTTACTGTGCAATTTTTAAATAAAAAGTAATGCAGTCCCAGTTGACAAGGTAACTTTATTTCCTCATATAATTGCTTTTTTATTTAAAAGTAGGAACAACATTTGAAATGAAGTACTCAGGGCTAAAATGCATCCAATTAATTGAAATAGAAGAGACTCATGTATCCACAGGTAGGTGAAGGTGTTTAAAGTCCTATCTTTGTTTGCCTCAGTAAAAACACAGCATGGGCTATAAAATCTATGCTTTCCTTATGATAGTATAAATCACATATATTGCCAATATTGCTACTTAAACTCACACTCCCTCAGCTTTCTTTTTCAGGGGCTGGCACTCTACTATTTGAACCATACCTCTAGTTTAGCTTTTTATTTTTTGCTGGTTAATTGGAGATGGAGTCTTGTAGACCTTTCTGCCTGGGTTGGCTTTGAACCTTGATCTTCCAGGTCTCAGCCTTCTGAGTAGCTAGGATTCCATGTTTGAGACCCCAGTATCTGGCTTATAAATTGTATTTTGCAGAGAGTCAATGGCTTTCAGTATCATAACAAAGAGATGATGTGTCTTTAGCTTGAGGCTACAGAGAAATTTTCCCATAAAGTTTCTGAAGAAAGTTTGCATGACATTCCATGATCTTCCTGTATCAATTTTCTTAAAGATGCTTTGCATAAATCTACTTTGATATTACTTCTTTTTTTAAAAAAATCAGTCTTATCATTAAATGCAGAGTTTCTGGAAATTGAGGACTATTCAATGCAACCTTAGCAAAAAATAAACAGAAACCTATGAAAGCCTGTGGACCAGAGTAATGGGCAAATAGAAATGAAAGACTTAGGAGAAACTCTTGGTCAAGTGAGAGTATGTATAACTAGAAAACAGAAGGTCAAGTAATTTACTTTACCCTTTCCTTCCTTTTGGCTAACCTGTATTTCTTTCTAGTTAGCCAATAATGGAAAGATTTCCTTATTATTTTCACCCCATTTCCAAGTTCAACATGCAGTCTTTAGACTTCCCATATTTTCACACACTGTGGACTAGAGGCTACCATTGGAATGGCTGTATAATCATGAACCATTGGAATCACTGTATGTGTACACTTTAAGGTACACACATTCCTTATCAGAGGGGCTAACTGCAGTAGGTCATGAGGACATTAGGTTAGTTTGTCTGTCTTCTGCTACTTTAGGAAGCTATTGAGAAAGACTCAGGATTTAAAATTCAGGTACAGAGTTTCACACAGGCACAGAGATCACTGATGTCCTCTCTCAGAGGCTCATCACTCTCTAGACTGTTCTAAAACTTCATAATGTTTGGCGCTTTCACATGAGGATATTTGGGCTGATGAAGGGGTAAAGAAACCCCCATGGCTGCATAGGTTAAGAAAGAGCATCAATGAGATCGAAATCATCCAATTCTTTCACTTCCATGGTTGGATTCTTTCCATTAACTGGTTTCCAGGGACGTCCAGGACATTTAGGGGAGGATGTTTCTGGAAAATCAGATATCAGCTTAAATGAAAAGCTATCTGGTTCTATCTGGATATCAGGGATCCAGTCATCATCATTCTCTGTGGGAGCTGTTGGGATGATAGTCGTCCAGGCTTCAAGGAGGTCTGAGTCCTGAAAGCCAGAAGAGGTAACTGCTACCTCTGGCTGGGCCAGAGAAGGAATGGGTGCTGGCCCTTCTGTCTTTTCTGGTGTCTGTGAAGATGTAGTACTATCTTCAGAAGAGCTTGCCAAGGGCTCTGTTTTCCAATCACTGTGCTTCCCATGTTTTTTTCCTTTATGTTTATGTTTTCCATGGTCATGACCATGTTTATGCTTATGTCTATGTCCATTGGCTAGGTCATGTCCAATTTGATGCTCATGGCCAAGGCTATGTCCCCTTTGGTGTTTAAGATTATGCTGGTTAAGTTCATGATCATGGCCATGCTTTCTTTTATGTCCATGGCCAAGGCCATGGTGTGAATGGCCTTGGTCATGCTCATGTTTAGGATCATGACCAGTCTCATGTTTTATCTGTTTTTCAGGGTCCCAGTCATGCCCATGAGTGGGTCCTTGTTCATTTTCTGGATCCTGCTCTTCATCTTGTACAGGTACCATGGAAGTGTAGGGTGGACTTACAGTTGTTTCTTTTCCTGTTTTCTGCACATCTCCTGATCGGAAAGGTGAAAAACCTGGAGGCCTTTTCATCAATGCAATCTAAACAGGAAATATTAAGATGAATGCATTACTGTGAAAACCGCACTATCAATGAAGAAAGAAGAGACTGAGATCTGGCAACACTATGCTGGTTTGCAACGGAGCAGGTATCTGCCAGATTTAAAATACTATATAAATTACTGGTTTTATCTTAAAAGGCTCTGAGGGCCTTAAAACACTGATTCCATAAGAGGCTATAGTCCTGTTGAGCGTTATTCACAAACTTGAAATGCAACTTCTGTGTAATACTATGTTAGACCATATATATACATACACACGATAAGTACCTAGACCAGGAAATGGAGATGTGGTTCAATTGGTAGAGTGCCATCCTTGAACAGAAAAAAGCTAAGGGACAGAGCCCACACCTTGAGTTTCAACCCCTAGTACTGGCACCAACAAAGCCTAAACTAGAAAAGAGGAGCAGAGGTAGCTTGTATTGAAGATTCAGACTCAAAGATTATTTCTATCTATTCTATTCTATTTCTATTCTATTATATCTATCTATTACATGTGAGTCTATGCTGTTCAAAGGTAAAATAATATGGGCTTTGGAGTCAAACCAGCCCTCTCTAATAATCAGCATCATGGTGAAAAGGGTAGACTCTGATATGACCTGCAATTATTCTGAGCACCAGTAGCACCAGCAGAATAATATTAACAGTACCTGTGGGTATTAACAGTACCTGCCTCACAGGGTTTCTAAGTGGATGGATGGAAAATAAGGGCGACTCTTTCTGAGAAGTGCTTGGGACAAAAGGAAGTCCTGAATAATGTTATTATTTTTTCTAGGACTTCAGAGTCTTTATAATTTTTCTATCTCCTCTTTAAAGACAGAGAAAGTATTACTTACCCTCTAGGATTCTTTTCATTTATTTATTTATTTATTTTATTTTTTTGGTCGGTCATGGGGCTTGAACTCTGGGCCTGAGCGCTGTCCCTCAGCTCTACAGCTCAAGCCTAGCGCTCTACCACTTGAGCTACAGTGCCACTTCCGGTTTTCTGGTGGTTTATTGGAGATAAGAGTTTCACAGACTTTCCTGCCTGGGCTGGCTTTGAACTGCGATCCTTAGATCTCAGCCTCCTCAGCTAAGATTACAGGCGTGAGCCACTGGCTCCCAGCTAGGATTCTTTTAAGACTTAAAAAGATGGTAAAAACAAATGCTTTTTGCTGGGTACTGGTAGCTCATGTCTGCAATTGTAACTACTCAGAATGCTGAGATTTGAGGATCACAGTTCAAAGCCCATATGGGTTGACAAATCGGTGACACTCATCTCCAATTAACCACCCAAAGTACAGAGGCTTAAGTAGTAAAGTACCAGATATGAAAAGAAAAAGCCATGCAAGAGCACCTTGAAGTTAAGCCGCAGGCTGGGAGGGATAAAAACCTAAAGCTTTTCAGACAAGAATGATGTGTGTGAGGCGCTGGGAAGGTGGCGCAGTGGTAGAGCGCTTGCCTCGCATGCGTGAAGCCCTGGGTTCGATTCCTCAGCACCACGTAAGCAAAAAAAAAAAAAAGGTCGGAAGTGGCGCTGTGGCCCAAGTGGTATGGCTCTAGCCTTGAGCTGAAGGCTCAAAAAAAAGAATGATGTGTGTGAATCCTTTGGGGATCTTTTAGACATGTAGATTTTGATTCATTAGTGGGGAACTGTTGTGAGTTTGTATCTCTCACTCAGCCCTGTGGACATAAGCATAGCACCAAGAGGTGTTGTTATGTACTCAGGCACAACTTGTAGGGGAATGCCTCACAGTGGAGACTGCCTGGCTACCAGCCCAAAGACGGAGCAAAGACCAGTCCACCTGGTGTATGGTGTACAAAGCAATAAAAGCATTGCTCTGACCTTTCTCTCCATTTAGAAAAGACCTCCCTATTCATTGCAGAAATGGCTTCTTATCAATCCCAACACGAGTCTTTTCAGATTGAGCCGAAATGACCCCCACAAGCTAGCTGCAGTTAGAATTATACCATTCCTAGTGGTTGACAGTTGACGGTGGACTCAATTTTTTTCTCCCAAGGTACCATATAAACTTGAGCATGGCAGCTTAGCTGTTGCTAAAAAGAAAAGGCAAAAGAGACCTGAGTTACTCATGAGACACTTAAACATATGATCATTAAAACATCAAATAGGGAGTCAGGCACTGGTGGCTCATGCCTATAAATCCAAACTACTTAGGAGGCTGATATCTGAAGATCATGGTTCAAAGCCAGTTCGGGCAGGCAAATCCATGAGACTTTATCTCCAATTAACCATCAGAAAACGGAAAGTGGAGCTGTGGCTCAAAGTGGTAGAGCTGTAGCCTTGAGCAACAGAGCTCTGGGATGGTGCCCAGGCCCTGAGGTCAAGCACGCTCCATGACTGATAAAAAACAAAAAAACAATACAACAAAAAGAAAACATCAAACAAGTTTTCAGTTGAAAAGGACAACACTTCATTACTACTCACTCCGATTTTCTTGGGCTCACAGCTTTTGGAGAACGCCTTGCTAGTTTCCTTAGAACATTCAGTTTCCTTGGCCAGGAAATCAATAGAATATGCCATCCCAGCCACCACCTGGAAGAGTGAGCAGCACAAACAAGTACTTAATGAATAATAGTGTCTGATAAACCATACTTTTATTTTTTTTTTGGTCGGTTGTGGGGCCTGAACTCTGGGCCTGGGCACTATCCCCCAGCCCTTCAGCTGTAGACCAGCACTCTACCACTTGAGCCTCAGCCCCACTTCCGGCTTTTTTTGCTTATGTGGTGCTGAGGAATCGAACCCAGGACCTCATGCATGCAAGGCAAGCGCTCTACCACTAAGCCACCTTCGCAGCGCCTAAACCATACTTTTTACTCTATGGTTTTCTGGTGATTAATTGGAGACAAGAGTCTTATGGACTCTCTTCCTGCCTTGGCTGGCTTTGAACTCCAACCTACAGATCTCAGCCTCCTGAGTAGCCAGAATTACAGGCGTGAGTCACCAGCACCTAGAGTCCTTGCCAAACCTTGAATTAGTGAAATACTGAGTTAGCATTACTATAAAGATTATATGGATTAAGTATTTGTATTTCCCATGGTTCCACTAATATTTTGAGTATTAAGTGTTTTATGGTCTGTGCATCTAAATCCATGTCACCCCTGTCACCAGTGTCCCCATCCCTCCCAACCCAATCCCTCCCATTTAACAACAGTTCTAGTCACTATACAAATGCTGTCATCCAGTAAACATTTTCTTAGCTCAATTTGTTGACCAAATTAGCTAGCATTTAATCATAAGATTTAAGTGTCTGTGTATATTTGTAATATCATGTAGCTATTTTGGGGGGGGAGGGTCCGGTTGTGGGGCCTGAACTCTGGGCGCTGTCCCTCAGCTCTTCAGCTCAAGGCTAATGCTCTACCACTTGAGTCACAGCACCACTTCGGGCTTTTTTCTTTTTTCTTATGTGGTGCTGAGGAATCGAACCCAGGGCCTCATGCATGCAAGGCAAGCGCTCTACCACTGAGCCACCTTCCCAGCCCCTCATGTAGCTATTAAAAGCAATGTATGACATGTATACCTAATGACCTAGAAGAAGAGTCATTATTGAAACAAAATGAGTTACAAGATGATAGTGTAACTCCACTTTTGAAAATACAAACTATAGTCATCTCCATCTCCTTATGCATCTTAAAAACATGGAGAAGAGCCAGGAACCAGTGGTTTGCTCTTGCAGTCTACTCACACCTAATCACACCTGTAGTCTGATCACACTTAACCTACTTACATCTAATCACACCTGTAAGCTACCCAGGAGGCAGACATCTGAGGATCGCAGTCCAAAGCCAGCCTGTGCAAAAAAGTCTGAGAGACATTTATTTCCAATTAACCATCAAAAACCCAGAAATGGAACTGTGTCTCAAGTGGTAAAGTGTTAGCTTGAAGCAGAAAGATGACAATAAACAGACTATTCTTCCACTACTTAAAGTTATTTCCAGACCTGTGATGTAGCTCTTTTAACAGTTTCAATCGTGAAATAGAAAGTTGCATTGTTTTCTGCATTAAGCTTTTCAATGGAATGAGTCAGCGCCTCCTCCAGCTCTGGGCTGTCCACAGGTATCTCCTTGGGGCAGCCAAGACATCTCAGGGGAACTTGTGATTCGTCCTCCGCTGAAAGAATCAGATTTCCAATCAACATGTGCACTGCACACAGTGCTGTGTATAGCCCTGGTCCAATGCTGAACAACAGACAAGATTCACTTCCTACTTCTCTTCAGAGCTCAGTGGGTAACATTCAAACAGAGGCAACTGACTCAATCAGTATGCTACACTTCTTCTGAATTCCTTCATTTGTATATGTATGCCAAAACTGGATCTTGAACTCAAAGCCTTGCACTCTCACTTAGCATTTTTGCTCAAGACTGGCACTCTCCCATTTGAGCCACACCTCCACTTTGGCTTTTTTGCTGGTTAATTGAAGATAAGAGTCTCTTGGATTTGTTGGGCTGGCTTCAAAATTGAGCCTTAGATCTCAGCTTCCTGAGTAGCTAGGATTAGAGGAATGAACCACAGTACCCGGCAACTTTCTATGCTTTTGGTGCAAACTGTAAAAAGCAATGTTTAATGGAATGAGTCTCTTAATGAGAGAATTTTAAAGTCTGTAGTTCTGGGGAACATATAGTTTTAGTAAAGCTGCTCACTGTGCAGCATAAAACAATTTTCAAGTATAAAGAAAGTCAACTTTTAAAAATAAAATACTGATTTGTATTGACTGAATAAACCATATTAAATTTACAAAAATGAAATAATGATATTTTTGGTCAGTTGTGGGGCTTGAACTCTGGGACTGGGTGCTGTCCCTCAATTCTTCAGCTCAAGGCGAGTGCTCTACCATTTGAGCCACAGCACCACCTCTGGTTTTTGAGTGGTTAATTGGAGATAAGAGTCTCTGGGGGGACTTTCTTTCCCAGGATAGCTTTGAACCATGATCCTCAGATCTCAGCCTCCTGAGTAGCTAGGATTACAGGTGTGAGCCACTGCTGCCTTGTTTACACCACCAAATTTTAAGAACAATTTGAATATAAAGACCAGCTGGCTAGGTGCTGGTGGGTCATGCCTGGAACCCAACTGCTCAGGAAGATCATGGTTCAAAGCCAGCCCAGGCAAGGAAGTTCATGAGACTTTTTTTTCCCGTCAGTCCCAGGGCTTGAACTCAGGGCCTGGGCACTGTCCCAGAGCTCTTCTGCTCAAAGCTAGTATTCTGCTGCTTTACTTCCAGCTTTTGTTGGGTTAATTAGAGATAAGAGTCTCAGACTTCCCTGCTGGGACTGGCTTCAAACCACAATCTTTAGATCTTAGTCTCCTAAGTAGTTAGGATTATGGGCATGAGCCACTGGCGGCACGTATCTTGTGCTTTATCTCCAATTAAGCGCCAAAAAAGCCAGAAGTAAAGGTGTAGCTCAAGCAATGGAATGCTAAACTTGAGCAAAATAGTCCAGGGACAGTGCCTAGGCTGTAAGTTCAAGCCCCGGGACTGGAAAAAACCCACCAGTGGCATTGTACCCAAAAGTTATCTTTACTCAAAATCACAAATGGTCCTTTCTGTCACAGTATTGCCTGTGGCCACTTACAATCAATACCAGTTGCAGCTGTTACAGCGTAATCAGGTATGGGAAGATATCTTCAGACCAGCTTATAGGACCCGGATGCCAGTGGCTCATACCTATAATCCTAGCTACTCAGGAGGCTGAGATCTCAGGATGGAGGTTCAAAGGAAAAGGAAAGACCATTAGACTCATCTCTAACTAGCCAGCAAAATGCCAGAAATAGAGGTGTGGCTCAAGTGGTAATGTGTCAGCCTTAAGCAAAATAGCTTAGGGACAGTGCCAGGCCCTGAGTTCAAGCCTCAGAAACTGTACACACACAAAATATCCTAAAAGTTACATAAACTTAGTGAATGTATCATGGAAACAAAAGCATAGCTTCTATGAAAAGATTTGCTCACTATCCACAGCTAGGGCATAGGGTGCTATCTCTCACCTGGATGAAGTTCACAATTCTGTTGGAATGAAGCAATTCTCTGATGAATATTCACAAATGCACGGTCTGTACACTCACCAGCATCCTAGTTTTTAAAATGGAAACATTAAAATCATTTTAGAGAATATTTTAAATACTAATAAACTTAAGAGATACAACATTTACTTTCCAAATCACTGCATAGAAAAAAATGAAAAAAAACATAGGTTAATTATAAAAGAAAAATAAGAAACATGTAATAGAATCAATAAGAAAAACACACAAGTATAAACACACACAGAAAACAAGAAATGACAAGAATTCCTTGGATAGAAATAATGACTATGTAATTACATGTCTAACAGTTCACTGTTTATATATAGAGATAAAAAGTCTGAGCTCTCCCAAGGTTAAGATAAAAGAAAACAGTAAAAATAAGAATTGTATATATGTTGCCAAAACACCATAGAAGCCTAATCTATGCTTTTATGATTTCATAATTTAAAAAGATGGGGTAAATAAATCAAACTACCCTCCTATCTCAAATCTAAATGTTTAACTTAGGAATTAAAATAGCATAACAGGCACCAGTGGCTCACACCTGTAATTCTAGCTACTCAAGGCTGAGATCAATCACAGTTCGAATCCAGCCTGAGCATTAAACCTTGTGAGATTCTTATCTCCAATTAACTACAAAATATCCCAACAAACATACAAAAAAACTGGAAGTGAAGCTATGGCTCAAGTGATAGAACACTAGACTTGAACACAAAAGCTCAGAGACAGTGCCCAGGGCTTGAAGTCAAGCCCCGGGACTAGCACCAAAAACAAAAACAAAAAATATTAACAAAAAACATTCAACTGATCCTTTTGAACAAAGAAAAATACCGAATGTGTAAAAACAACATAACAAACATACAGAGAAATATAAAAATATGAGAATATTATCAACAAGTACACGTTATTTAAATCCCTGTGAAATGGATACTATCCTGGAAAAGTATTCATGATAGACATTGACTGAAAATCAGTAAGAAAACTTGACTGAAACAAAAAAACTGTTATAGAATCAGAGAATTTTTTTTTATGTTTTTTATGTTTTACTCTCAAATTTCATCCCAACTCACACATCTTGGCTGCATGGTGTTGGTTTGTTTGTTTGGTTTTTGGTGGTCATGGGGCTTGAACTCCTGGGCGCTGTCCCTGAGCTCTTCAGCTCAAAGTGAGCACTCTATCACTTGTGCCACAGCGCCACTTCCAGTTTTCTGTAGGTTAATTAGAGATAAGAATCTCATGGATTTTCCTGCCTCTGCTGGCTTTGAACTGTAATCCTCAAATCTCAGCCTCCTGAGTAGCTAGGATTACAGGCTTGAGCCACGGGTGCCCAGCTGCAAGTATTTTTAAAGTAAATGCCTTTTTAAGAATTAGAGAAGGCTGGGAAGTTGGCTCAGTGGTAGAGCGCTTGCCTTGCATGCATGAGGCCCTGGGTTCGATTCCTCAGCACCACATAAGCAAAAGGAAAAAAGCCGGAAGTGGTGCTGTGGCTCAAGTGGTGGAGCGCTAGCCTTGAGCTGAAGAGCTGAGGGACAGCGCCCAGGCCCAGAGCCAGGCCCAGAGTTCAGGCCCCATGACTGGACCCCCCCCCAAAAGAAAAAAAAAAAAGAATTAGAGATACATTTCTATACCATGTGAATTATTTAGAAATATAAAAAATAATAGCATTTATTTATTTAATTTTTTTTTTTGGGGGGGGGCGCGTTGGTCGTGGGGCTTGAACTCTGGGCCTGGGCGCTGTCCCTGCATTCCTCAGCTCAAGGCTAGCACTCTACCGCTTGAGCCACAGCACCACTTCTGGTTTTCTAGTGGTTTATTGGAGATAAGAGTCTCATACAGTGTCCTGCCTGGTCTGGCTTTGAACCTCGATCCTCAGATCTCAGCCTCCTGAGTAGCTAGGATTACAAGCATGAGCCACCGGTGCCTGGCTAGCATTCTTTTATAAAAATGTATTTGCTTGCCTAGCAAGTATAAGGCCCTTAATTTATGCACAAACAAAACAAAACTGAACACTGTAACTACCCTGAGAGATACCATCTAACATAATTGTGGTTAGGAAGATACAATATCCTCCTAGGAAGAGTCACAAAGAGGCAAAATGTGTTTATTTTATTATTTATTTATTTATTATTTTTTGTGCCTGTCCTGGGGCTTGAATTTGGGGCCTAGATACTGTTCCTAAGATTCTTTGTCTCAAGGCTAGTACTCTACAAATTGAGCCACAGTGCCACTTTCAGCTTTTTCTGAGTAGTTTATTGGTGATAAGAGTCTCACAGACTTGCCTAGGTTGGCTTTGAACTGTAATCCTCAGATCTCAGTTTCTTGGGCAGCTAGGATTATATAGGCATGAGCCACCAACACCTGGATTTTTGTTTGTTTGTTTTTTTGTTTTAAAGAAAAAAAACCTAGCCCAGGGAAACTAGAAGTGAAAAGCTGTCTTGAGTAGAGCTGTAGAATACTGCAAGACATGGTGCTATTGGGAAGAAGAGGAGAATTCAAAGTATGAAGACACAAGCCAAAGATAAGCCGTTCTTTGCTTCATCTTTGCTCAGGCCATAGGCTCTGCTCTACTCTGACAACACTTACGGCTAGCTGTGCAGCAATATGAACTTCAGGATTCCAAGCAAATGTAAATTTTCATTTCCATGTGATTTTTGCATCAAATTTGAGTTGCTAATGTCATCTAAATTTTTCTTTTTTTTTGCCAGTCCTGGGGCTTGAACTCAGGGCCTGGGCGCTGTCCCTGAGCTTCTCTGTGTTCAAGGCTAGCACTTTACCACTCAAGTAACAGCACCACTTCCAGATTTTTCTGTTTATATGGTACTGAGGAATCAAACCCAGGGCTTCATGCATGCTAGGCAAGCACTCTACCACTAAGCCACACTCCCAGCCATGTCATCTAAATTTTAGCAATGGTTTTCCTACACAGTTTGATAGTTCCTGTGCTTGTGAAAACTAAACAAAAGGCTAGGAGCTTTATTATTAACGATTAAATTTTGGCTACTTACACCATTTGAAAGGGTCTTGCAGTCTTCAGTTAAGAACAGAAAATTCTCCTTGGAACAATTAGTTTGCAAAATGGTGTACGTAATCTCGAAGTTCAACCCGGCCACCACCTGAAACAAATTTAGATTGCTTATTAAAAGTACAGTTTAAACAGTATTTACAATGAAACATGAACATTATGTTGTATTTAAAACATTGAAGGACATATAAATACTCAAGCAATACAAACTATTATTATTATTATTAGACATTAGTCACCACTAAATAAAAATTGAGGCTCTTGCCAGCCCCTCCACATCTATCCATCTTCAAATGAAAAGCAATAGTATAGGTGGAGTTATTCTATTTTCCATATAAGACCAAGCAAAAGTTGTTCTTCTGGGCTGCAGAGAGAAAAGCGTTTGCTGAACTTAGTGAATTACAATGGTCTAGATAAGAAGACTTCCAGCTGGAGTGACCTTGCCTAGTAAGTCCTCAAATTCTCACATCACTAGTTAGTGAGATTTCTTGCCTTATCCTAAGCAGGCCCCATCCTGAATACTATACTTGGTCATAATGGAGTAATACACATGTCTTACATGGAAGCAATAGAAGGGTGCTAGCCAAAGTAGATCACCCACAAAAAGGCTGAAATACAGGGACCCACTAGGCTATTAGAAAAGTCTGGATAAGCTGGGCAGCAGTGGCTCACACCTGACATCTAGCTACTCAGGAGACTAAGATGTGAGGATTACCATTCGAAGCCAGCCTAGCAGGAGAGTCGGTAAGACTATTACCTCAAAAAGTAAAGCTGTGGGGGCTGAGAATGTGGCTTATTGGTAGAGGGCTTGCCTAGCATGCATGAAGCCTTGGGTTTGATTCCTCAGTACCACAAAAACAGAAAAAGCCACAAAGTGGGGCAGGGGCTCAAGAAAAACAAACAAACAAACAAACAAAAAACAGCTCAGGGATAGTGCCCAGACCCAGAGTTCAATCCCCAGGGACTGTCAAAAAAAAAAAGTGTTTTGTTTTGTTTTGCTGGTTAATTGGAGATTAGGCCACAAAGTGGTTAGAGTACTATCCTTAGAAGAACACCCAGGGCCTGAGTTGAAATCCTAGTACTAGCAGGTGCATGCGTGCATGCGTGCACATATGCACCATACACACACAAGCATACATCCATATACCATACAAAGATTGGATGAACTGAGTCAATAAAAAGACAAAGTGATTAATGATGATGATAATGATGATGATTGGTGCCAGTTTGGGGCTATTCATATTCTCATTTAGCCTTTTCAATCAAGGCTAGCCTTCTATCACTTGAGCCACACCTCAATTTCTAGCTTTTTGCTGGTTAAGTTGGAAATAAAAGTCTCATAGACTTTTCTGCCTGGATTGGCTTTGAGCCTAGATCCCCAGATCTCAGCCCCTTGAGTAGCTAGAATTATAGGTATGAGCCACTAACACTTAGCTAAAATGAAATTATTAAGTATTTATTTCCCCTCACCCCAGATGACATGGGAACTGTACTTTAGAGTGTACCCAGAAAGTAATTTCCACCTTTCCTTTTGGATGGTGGTAGGGCTTGAACTCTGGGCCTGGCTGCTGTCCCTGAGCTCTTCAGCTCAAGGCAAGCACTCTACCACTTGAGCCACAGCGCCACTTCCAATTTTCTGGTGGTTAAGTGGAGATAAGAGTTCCTATCTGGGCTGACTTTGAACTGCGATCTTCAGATCTCAGCCTCTTGAGTAGATAGGATTATAGGTGTGAGCCACCAGCACCCAGCAGTTTCAACCTTTTTGAAATAGTTTGATGTTTTGGGGGCCATATTTAGTAAGAGGGTGATGTCAATTTCTTTAACCCCAAGACCAGAATAACTTTTCCATTTCCTCATCTGTGGGAAGAACACTAATACTGATTACTGGTTCATGAAAAACAAACTTCAAGGGAAGGGAGTATGATTAATCATCACAGGTTGAAGAATCTATTCACCTTCTGTACTAGTTACATAAAAATAATACGAGCTCCCCCCTACAGCATGTGAACATTTGCTTTCTTTCTTTTATTGTAGGTGATGAAACTCTTAATGTAAAGAGTAAATGGAAATGTATAATCTTATCATATGAAAAAGATTTAAAGCAAACCTGTCTTTGAGCTCTTTTTACTTCTCCAAGAGCAAAGAGATGGGAATGCTGGGTGTTGTTATTAAAATGTTCGATGGCATGTTTCAAAACAGGATCCAGATCCGGGTTATTTGTTGATATGGGGTGCACACACCCACGGCAATTGTACTGGGCCATCATCACAGGGCCATTGGCTGAAAGAAGAGCAGGCAAAGAAGTAGCATTAACAGTGGAAAGCAGCATTCCAATACATGGTCCTAAATCAAGATCATTTGGAAGACCTCAATAAGCAAACTTTCCAGTAAACCCTATGCACATTAGAAAAAAATGAGAGCACATCCGGGTGCTGGTGGCTCATGCCTGTAATCCTAGCTACTCAGGAGGCTGAGATCTAAGAATTGTAGTTCAAAGCTAGGCCAGGCAGAAAACTCTCTGTGAGACTTTTATCTCCACAGATCAAAGTGGTAGAGCACTAACCTTGAGCAAAAAGGGTCTAGAGATAGTGCCAGGCCCCATGACTGACACACTAAAAAAAAATTAAGAAAAAAGAAACAGAAAAAATAAAACACACACACGTGTGTGTGTGTGTGTGTGTGTGTGTGTGTGTGTATGTGTGTGTGTGTGTGTAGCGGGGGGGGGGGGTGGCACACATATGTGATTCTGGAGCTTGAATTCAGAGCTTCACACTCTCACTTGGCTTTTTTTTTTTGGGTCCGGTCGTGGAGCCTGAACTCTGGGCCTGGGTGCTGTCCCTCAGCTCTTCAGCTCAAGGCTAGCGCTCTACCACTTGAGCCACAGCACCACTCTGGCTTTTTTCTTTTTGCTTATGTGGTGCTGAGGAATCGAACCCAGGGCCTCAGGCATGCAAGGCAAGCTCTCTACCACTGAGCCATCTTCCCAGCCCATCTCACTTGGCTTTTTCACTCAGAGTTGGTGTGCTCTACCACTTGAGCCACATTTAGGGCTTAGGGATTTTTGCTGATTAATCTGCCTGGGTTGGCTTTGCAGTAGGATCCTCAGATCTCAGCCTCCTGAGGAGCTAAGATCATAGGTGTGAGGCATCAGCCCCTGACTAGTGGAGCTATTCACGTGTTAGAATGATCACTTGTGTGAAGAAAATGACCATCAAGTTGGAAAGAACCAGAGGCCAATCATTTCAGTATGATTTAGCAGCATGGGTATAAGAAGACAGGTCCAACATGAGGCCAAGGAAGACTTTAACAATAAGATGCCTGGACTGGGAAGGGTGAAGGTGACAAGAGGTTTGAACATGGGGTGTGACGGCTTGGGGACAAGAAACAGATGGCTCCTGAGAAAGGGGGATGTGGTGTAGGATGTGGCAGACACATTTCACCAGATCTCCACACACAATGCTGACAGGGGTAACTAGAGGAGGACAGTGGATAGAGAAATTCTATGCTCTCAAGTTTGTTCCTCGCTCTTTAGCACAGGGGCACTGACTTTATTCAGAGGTCATATGCTCTATTTGAAAGGTCATGGTGAATCTGATCAAAGCAATGGACCCTCCCCAGGGAAGTACATGGATGCCAGGCTAGTCACCATATAAACCTTCAGAAGTGCTGTGGGAATGAGCACCTCTGAGGGGAAGCGATGAACTGGTATAAAATATTACAGAAGCAACTGCGCTGTTAAGTCATGTTCATAGCCGATCTTCTGACCTGCATCAGTAAGTCCCATGTCTCAGAGAGGACAGGTAGATCACTTACAGGTGAGGGTGTATATGGAAAGGACCCCGCGTGAGAGTCTGAGACTTCCTCACCAAACAGATCACACTGCCTGCACACACACTGTAGTTGGATCTTAAATGCCTCCCGAAAGATATGTGTTATAAAGTTTCCAAGATGGCTCTTCTGGGAAAGGGCAGAGGTGGGAAGTCGCTTCAAGTTTTACATCCTGAAAGGGATGTGTGAGACGCCTTTTTTCCCTCCCTCCCATTCCCTGCTCCATCCTCTCTCTTCCTTTTTCTTTCTCTCCCTCTCCCTCTTTCTCTTGCCCTCCCACACTCTCAGGGCCAGTTGTCATGAAGTGAGCTGCCCGGTCACATGCTTCCTGCCATGATGTACCACCCCGCCACAGGTCAAAAAGCAAAGGGGTCACTATATGATAGATGACAGCCTTCTAAACGATGACCTAAAACAAGCCTGCTTTTCTTTCTTTTCTTCCTTCCTTTCTTTTTTGAGTTGATTATCCCCAGTATTTTCCTGCAGTAACAAAACGAACTTAACAGTATATAATATGGAAACACAATCTGGAGACCATCGGTTTTAGATTATGCCACTTGTCACAGCTCTCCTTGCAACTATTTTGTGGCGTTTCCTCTTTAGACATGTGTCAGAACTGTAGAGACATATGCATAGCTTCCTCCCCCTGGCAGAAGATGGTGATCAGGAGAGTGAACTGGCCCAGTCTCGATTCTGTAAATTCCCTCCCCACTCCCATTGTCACTCAATATATTTGCTACCTGGAGTGATCTGGCAGGTCTGGGTAGCTACAGAGAATTTCTCATTTTCTCTCTTTCCCACAGTCGCTGAGCATTCTCCCGTGGCCTGAAAGAAAAGAAACAAAGATGCATCCTAAACTTCCCAATGGAGAAGTCTTCCTGGTACTGTCACTAAAGGAAGAAAAAGTGAGCAGTGTTTCCTAACAAAGTTTGTTTGTTTGCTTGTTTGTTTGTTTCTGGTCCTGGGACTTGAACTCAGGGTCTGGACACTGGCCCTAACCTTTTGTGCTTGAGGCTTGCACACTACTACTTGATTCACAGCTCCATTTCTGGCGTTTTTGTGGTTAATTAGAGCTAGGAGTCTCCCAGGTTTTCCTGTCTAGGATGGCTTCAAACTGTGATCCTCAGATCTCAGCTTTCTCAGTAGTTAGAATTATAGACTTGAGCCACCTGCACTTGGCTCCTAACAGAGTTTTGAGATAAGATAATAAATATTTTTGGAGTCAGGTGATTATTTTTACAAGCCATTACTATCCATGTGTCAGAGGAAGGCCAAGCCAGTGGTAAGAACTGTTCATTTCAGTCTTTGCTTAGAATCCTGGAAACAGTTCTTTCTCATTAGGGGTTGATAGTGCCTTAGAAACAGCCTGTGAAGCATCCCTCTTGATTTCCTCCTCAATTTCAGTAGACCAATACTATTTACATAGACGTGGATTTAGCCTGTTAGAAACAAGTTGGTCCTGCAGGACACAGCAGCTAATTAGTTCTACCTATTGGACAAAATCAAGGAGAGGCAGAACCTGGTCTCTGGCTCAGAGTCCAGGGCTCTTTATAACTGCCAAGTGACTGTCATGCTCAAAACACACAGAGGATACTGATGTCCTGACATCAAAGAGAGGAATAAAGTTGGAAGCCAGCCCAGGCAGAAAAGTCTACAAGACTCCATCTCCAATTAAACAGCAAAATGCCAGACTGCAGGGGTAGCTCAAATGGTAGAGCATCAACTGGGAACAAGGAAGTTGGGCAAGAATAAAAAACCCCTGAGTTCAAGCCTTGGTACTGGTAGAAACGAACAATTGTGGACTGGAGAAAGAAAATATGCTACATATACACATTGGAATCCTATTTAGTCACAAAAAAAAAAAAAAAAGGAGAGCTCGAGGGAAGGAAATCCTATCATTTGCAACCATGTGAATGGAACTGGAGGTCATCAAGTGAAATAAAACAAAAACAAAAACAGCCCCATGACCTCATTCCCATAAGGAATCTAATAGAATGGCTCTTATGGAAGTAAAAAGGGAAATGGTAGTTGCCACAGGCTGTAAGAGCTTGCAGAGAGAGGAATGGGAGACTGGCCCCTGAGTTTGTGGTTACAGTAAACTGGGAGGGAAAGTTCTGGCATACTTCTGCACTCTAGAGAAACTGCAGGTAACAATTATGGGCTACATATTTCAGTGTAGTGTAGTGTGTGTGTGTGTGTGTGTGTGTGTGTGTGTGTGCGCACGAGCGTGTGTGTGCGCACACGAGCGCGCGTGTGCGCATGCACGCTTCCACTAGTACTGGGGCTTGAACTCAGGATCTCCATCTATGATGTGGGTTATCACTTAGTTCACAGCTGATGTTCTACTTGGGCCATGCCTCGAGTTTAGCATTTTGCTAGTTAATTGGAGGTAAGTGTCTCTAAGATTTGTCTGCCCAGGCTTGCTACTACCTGTAGTTCTCAGATTTCTTTTTTATTTCTCTTTTTTGTTGGTCATGGGGCTTGAACTTTGGGCCTGGGCACTGTCCCTCAGCTCTTGAGCTCAAGGTGAGTGCTCTACCACTTGAGTCACAGCTTCTGGTTTTCTGGTGGTTAATTGGAGATAAGAGTCTCTTGGACTTTTCTGCCTAGGGCTGGCTTTGAAATTTGATCCTCAGATCTCATCCTCTTGAGTAGCTAGGATTACAGGCTTGAGCCACTGGCACCACACCTCTCAGATTTCTTTTTTCTTTTTTGGTCGGTGGTGGGTCTGAACTCTGGATCTGGGCGCTGTCCCTCAGCTCTTCGGCTCAAGGCAAGTGCTCTACCACTTGAGCCATAGCACCACTTCTGGCTTTTTCTGCTTATGTGATGCTGAAGAATCGAACCCAGAGCCTCATGCATACAAGGCAAGCACTCTACCACTGAGCTACCTTTCCAGCCCCTCTCAGATTTCTTGAGTAACTAAGATTACAGGTATGAACCATTGGTACCTGGCTGTACTACACACTTGAAAAATCCAGAAGAAAGAATTTTGAATGTTGTAACTGTAAGGTCCACTCCTGGATGGGGAGCAGACTCCACCCTCCTCGCAGCAAAGTCTCCACCCAGTACCTGCGTTACCTAGGCAACTGGGACACCTGGAAGAGGTCACATCTGCATCCGCTGAGGTCACATCTGCATCCGCTGAGGTCACATCTGAATTTGATGTGGCCACACCTTTCTCCGCCCATACCCTAGATAAGGGCTAGCGCAGGCGCAGATTCTCTCTCTGTTCTATTCTAACTCTCTCTCTCTGTTCCTCTCTGCTTTCTCTGTTCTATTTTAGCTCTCTCTCTGTTCATTTCTAGCTCTCTGCTCTCTCTCCCTTTTCTAGCTCTTTTCTCTCTCTTTCCTTTCTTTCCTCTTTCCTTTCCCAGCCACGTGGAGTGCCACCCTTGCCTGGTCCCATCAAGGTCTACTGAATAAACTTACCCCTTACCTGAATACCATGTGAGCTGCTGCTGTTCTTACCTCTCTCTCTGCTCTTTTCTAGCTCTTTCCTCTCTTCCCAGCTCTCTCTCATTCCCAAGCCTTTCCCAGCCACGTGGAGTGCCAACCTTGCCTGGTCCCAGCAGGTCTACTGAATAAACCTACCCCTTACCTGAATACCACGTGCGTGCTGGTGCTGTTCTTACTCCGTCACCTCTTTTTAGAAACCTAACAGTCACCATAAAAATTGTTGAGTGAGGAGATTGATTTAACCTGGTTTAAACATTCCACAATGAAGCAAAACATCACATGGGACCCCATGAAAATGTACAGTTTCTGGGTTGGGAATGTGGCTTAGTGGTAGAGTGCTTGCCTAGCATGCATGAAGCCCTTGGTTCAATTCCTCAGTACCACATACACAGAAAAAGCTGAAAGAGGTACCATGGCTCAAGTGGTAGAGTGCTAACCTTGAGCAAGAAACAAGTTCAGGGACAGTGCCCAGGCTCTGAGTTCAAGTTCCAGAACTGGAAAAAAAAAACCCAGAATGTACAATTTCTATGGCTTTCTGTGCCTATTTACAAACTAATTTAAATTCAGTTTTGTCAAGCCCAGCAAAGCTGGATGGGAAAGCGAGGCCTGGGAATCAGCACAGACTTACCGCATTTTCCGCCTCCTGGTACTCACAGTCTTGCCAGGTTTTGCCACTTTCCACGGGACAGTTTCCCTCCTTGATTTCATACTTGACAGAATAAAACAGTTGAGGGCCTACCTGAAAAAGAGCCACCAAAGACATTCAGATTCACTCAGCTGAGCAGCAAATAATTTAAGCAGGTTATTGTCTCTTCATGACTATCAGTCTTAATTTTATTTGATTCAGTGGAAAACAAGCACACATTAAAAATATTTACAGGGACTGGGAAGGTGGCTCAGTGGTAGAGCGCTTGCCTTGCATGCATGAGGCCCTGGGTTCGATTCCTCAGCACCACATAAGCAGAAAAAGCTGGAAGTGGTGCTGTGGCTCAAGTGGTAGAGCACTAGCCTTGAGCTGAAGAGCTGAGGGATAGTGCCCAGACCCAGAGTTCAAGCCCTACAACAGACAAAAAAAATAAATAAATAAAAAAAAGGAAGGCCAGGCGGTGATGGCTCATGTCTGTAATCCTAGCTACTCTGGAGGCTGAGTTCTAGGATCACAATATGAAGCCAACCCTGGTCAGAAAAGTCTGTGAGACTCTAACCTCAAATAAGCTACCAAAAAAAAGCTGAAAATGGAGTTATGGTACAAGTGGTAGAATGCTAGCTTTGAGCAGAAAAGCACAGGGATAGCACCCAGGCCTTGAGTTCAAGCCCTAGGACCCCCCCCCCCCGCCCCCACACACACACACAAAAGTCTGGAAGATATTCAAAAACTTCATTTGTGATGGAATTGTAATTAGCTTTCACTTTAGTCTATAAACAAGCATTTTCTGTAAACAAACATCTTCTTTCCTTCCTTCCTTCCTTCCTTCCTTCCTTCCTTCCTTCCTTCCTTCCTTCCTTCCTTCCTTCCTTTCTTTTCTTGCCTGTACTGGAGCTTGAAGTAAGGGCTGAGCTCAAGTTGGCACTCTCTCATTTGAACCACATTTCTACTTCCAGCTTTTTGGTGATTAATTGGAGATAAAAGTCTTTTAGACTTTCCTGTCCAGGCTAGCTCCTAAACCTAGTCCTCGAATCTCAGCCTTCTTAACATCTAGCATTACAGGCTATGTTTTTCCTAATTAACACATAGTGCTTTTAGAATAAGAAAACCATAAATATGAGAACAGTATTTTTTAAGTTCATTATATATAGTAGAATTAATTATGAATGATTTCATAGTATATTTGCTTTGTCTTGCTTTCTAATTCCTTTCCTCCTTTAGACAGTTTTATTGATTTCAGCACATGTCATATACTTTACTCATATATTGTATATAATAAAATGTTTTTAGCATATTTATAATCATTGCTACAATCTACAATCTATTTTAAGCCATTTAATCACCCCCAAAAGAGGTATCCTTTACATTTTGAAAGGCTCTATCTCAAAAACAGCCAGCAAGGTGGGAATGTATCCCAAAGGGAACTCTACTACACTGTTGGTGGGAATGTAAACTGGTTCAACCACTCTGGAAAGCAGTAGGGAGGTTCCTCAAAAGACTAAACATAGAGATCTTCTATGATCTAACAATCACAATCTTGGGCAAATGCCAAATGATCACAAACAAGGCCACACTAATGCTACCAGCACAACAATGTTCATTGCAGCATTATTTACCATAGCTAAGATACAGAATCAACCCAGATGTCCCTCAGTAGATGAATGGATCAAGAATGTAATTTATGTACACAATGGAATTCTATGCTTCTATCAGAGCGAATGACATCACCCCATTCATAAGGAAATGGAAAGACTTTGAAAAAAATCATACTAAGGGAAGTAAGCCAGACCCAAAGAAACATGGGCTCCATGTTTCCCTCATTTGTAATATTAGTAATATCTAGCATAGTCCTAGCAGAGAATTACAATAGCTCAGTAGCTATGTACCTATGACAATATAAAATGATGCTAATTGAAATGAACTCCAAGATATGGAAACAAAAGGTTTCTTGTTTTTGCTTTTCATTGGTCATAGGGCTTAAACTCTGGGCCTAGACACTGTCCCTCAGCTCTTTAGCTCAAGGTGAATGCTCTACCTCTTGAGCCATAGCACCACTTCCGGTTTTCTGGTGGTTAATTGGAGATAAAAGTCTCACAGACTTTACTGCCCTGGCTGGCTTTGACTGTGATCCTCAAATCTCAGCCTCCTGCGTAGCTAGTATTGCAGGCTTGAGCCACTGGCTCTTGGGTGTTGTTGTTGTTTTTAATGTACTGTGTGAAGTTATTTCTTTTTTCTTTCATTCTCCCACCCATTTGATTTATCCCCTGTCATCACTGTTTTTTGTTTTTTGTTTTTTCTCTCTCTCTTTTTTTTTTCTTCTTCTTCTTCTTCTTTTTTTTTTTTTGTCAGTTGTGGGGCCTGAACTCTGGGCCTGGGCACTGTCCCCCAGCTCTTCAGCTGTAGACCAGCAGTCTACCACCTGAGCCTCAGCCCCACTTCCGGCTTTTTCTGCGTATGTGGTGCTGAGGAATCGAACCCAAGACCTCATGCATGCAAGGCATGCACTCTACCACTGAGCCACCTTCCCAGTCCCTCATCACTGTTTTTGATTCTGATACCCTGTGTCCTGTATATAAGTTTATCTGATTTGGGGAAGGAAGGAGAATAACAAAATGGTGAGACAAAGAACAAAGGGTGAACCAATGCAACAGTGATACCCACAAGACACTATATTGGAAATGAACCATATAACTTGTGAGGCAAGGGAGTTGAGGGGAGAGAAAGTGGGAGGAAAACAAGGGAGGGAGTAATAATGTTCGATAAGAAATGCTCTCATTGCCTTACTTATGTAACTGTAACCCCTTTGTACATCACGTTTACAAAAAAATTTAAATTTAAAAAAAATTGAAAAAACCCAGCCAGCAAAAATAGAGCTAGAAATGTGGCTCATGTGTTAGAGTGCCAGCCTAGCAAGCATGAGGTCCTGAATTCAAATTCCAGTACCACCAAAAGAAAAAAGCTCAAAACAAATTTATTCATTCATTTATTAATTTAGGTGAACAAATTTTTAAAAATAGTAAGCATTTGGGCAATGGCTAGGCAGTAGAGTGCCTGTCTAATAAGGATAAGGCCTTGCCTTTCAAACTCCAGTACTCCTGCGTGGGAATGTGGGCACCAAAATAGTAACAAAAAACTTCTGTGTGTGTGTGTCAGTGGCTCAGACCTTGTTAATCCTGTCTATTTGGGAGGCTGAGACTAGGAGGATATAGGTTTCAGGCAAGCTGGGGCAGAAAAGCCCATATGATTCCCTTTTCAACTGAAAGCTGGGCATGATGGTGCACACAGATGATCCTAGCTATGACAGGAATCCTAAAATAGGTGAATCGCAGCCCAGACCCATCTTAACAATAACCAGCACAAAACAAGGCTGGGGATGGGGGCACAGAACACCTGGTTAGCAAGCACAAGTTTCCAAGTTCAAGTTCAAGTACTGCCAACAAACAAACCAAAAGAATAAAAGGAAAACAGCTAAAATGTGGTATTGGACTTGATTCATTTGGTAGACAGACTTTATGGTAGATATTAAGTCTAATGCAATAGAACCAAGCTAATCTCATTTCTGACTCCTCTTAGACGTACACCACATACAAACTCCCTCTCATTTAAAGTTGGGAGTTCTTTATATCTTAGGCTAGAGACCCATTAAATCCTCTTGCTGTAGACTGGCTGAGTTCCTGGATAAAGAAAGGAAAATAAAAGGGAGGAGGAAAAAGAGGAGCAGGAGGGGGAGGAGGAGGAGGAGGAAAAGGAGAAGAAGAAAAAAAGAAAGAGGAGGAGGAAGAACAGGAGAAGAAGAAGGGAAGAGAAAAGTCCTGGGTGCTAAGCCCAAGCAAAAGTCCCAGGTGACTTCAAGGTTAAAGAGCTCACTCACCGTCTTATTGACCTCAGTTACGCGGTACAACAGGAACTGGTTGCCGGTTTGGTTCCTTTTGTTATAGTTCTGCAGAGCAGCATCCACCGCCTTAAATACATCTCCATCATTGCAGTCAGTTTCCTGGAAGACTGCATCCTGGGTTAAACTTGGCAGCAGCCTGGAACAGAGAAGAAGGATGGTAAGTAATTTCATGATTTAACACTCCCCGTCTAGAATCTGGGGAATGCTTTTGCCAAGTTTCAGGAGCCAACTTGGATTCAGATTTTTACAATCCCTATTCTCTTGTCTCCTGTGTTCTCTCCACTCTGTCCTCAGCACTTAGAACCTTATTTGAATTCCTTCTGTTTGTCTTCTTCTAAAAAGATTGTGCAAGCAGAGTTCCAGCAAGAATATTACAACATTAGGTTTGTTGACCTGACCATTTGCTTTTGGAAAGCACGTGGGAGCCTAGAGCATATTTCCAAGTGATTGCACAACTTTGTACAGGGAATTGGAGCAGAATCCAATCAAGAGTGGTGAAAAAACCACCAGCTAGCTTTATTATTCCCGGTGACTTCCCCAAAGCTAATTATGAAGGCCATTAATGTATAAACATTAAATGTGCAGACCCTGTTCACAGACATCTATGGAATGTTTATCTGCACATAAGAAGGCCGCTTTCAAGTCTAATTGCATACCTAGGCAGCCAGAGCCATCAAGTGAATAGTGTGAGGTCCACAATTGAAAATAAACTATGGGTAGCCTCTCTGGTCTCTGGCAAAGCTGACTTCTTTTGCCCAATTATAAATTCTATAAAGGAAAATGAATGTTCACTAGGATGTAGTAAACAGGAAAAACTTAAGAAGAGCTGGAATGAGTGAGATCCTGTCTCTGTTTCTTGTTGCTGGTTGGGTGGGTATCTGTTACTGACTGAGCCTACGCAACTTTTTAGACAAAGGTAGACTATTTGAGCACAGGAGATCTAATAGCAGGTTAAAGACATTCTTAGACCTCAAGTCAAGGAAGGAGGAAGGAAAGAAAGGGAAAGAGAGAAGGAGGAGGAGGAGAAGGAAGGAGAGGAAGAGGAGGAGGTGGAGGAGGAGGAGAAAAAAAGAGGAGGAGGAAGAAGAGGAAGAAGAGGAGGATGGAGAGGAAGAGGAAAAGGAAGAAGAAGAAGAAGAAGAAGAAGAAGGAGGAGGAGGAGGAGGAGGAGGAGGAAGAGGAGGAGCAGGAGCAGGAAGAGGAGGAGCAGGAGCAGGAAGAGGAGGAGCAGGAGCAGGAGGAGCAGGAGCAGGAGGAGCAGCAGGAGCAGCAGGAGCAGGAGGAGGAGGAGGAGCAGGAGGAGGAGCAGGAGGAGGAGCAGGAGAAGAAGGAGGAGAAGAAGAAGAAGAAGAAGAAGAAGAAGAAGAAGAAGAAGAAGAAGAAGAAGAAGAAGAAGAAGAAGAAGAAGAAGAAGAAGAAGAAGAAGAAGAAGAAGAAGAAGAAGAAGAAGAAGAAGAAGAAGAAGAAGAAGGGAAGGAAGAAGGAGAAGGAGAAGAAAGGAAGGAAGAAAGAGAGGAGGAAGAGAGGAAAACAAGAAGGAAGGAGAGAGGCAGAAAAAAGGTGAAGAAACAGAAAACCAAGAAAAAAGGTTGAATTCTTTATTTTTGTTGATAAGATCTCTAGTTTGACCATGAAGTCTCTCTGATGGCTTTTGGAAGTGAGGTCAGACCTTGACATGGAAGGATCAATGTTAGCCACATGGTAGTCTTGAGTGGCAGGGATATGTTCTTGGCTGTAAGTCCTACTTGGAATCTTATCTAGCCCTATATTTTAACTTATGTGGCTCTGCATGTGTATAAGAGTATATGCATGTGTGACCATGTGGATGTGATCATGTGGGCATGGATGTATGCTGTTTTTCTGTGCCTGTGTGTGAATGAGTATAAATGTGTTTGTGTGTGTGCACGTACACATGCTTGCAAGTCACATTCATATAACATTTCTACCTTGTCTTCTTCACTTGTAAAATGCAAATCATAATAATAAAGTTTTTCTTTTGAGAAGTGAATGAGTTGACATATGTTCAAGGCCTAGTAATTAATTCTAATGAATTATATATAGCATTAGTTGGAATGGTTAAGAGTATCTATTTGTGCCGGGCGCTGGTGGCTCACGCCTGTAATCCTAGCTACTCAGGAGGCTGAGATCTGAGGATCGTGGTTCAAAGCCAGCCCGGGCAAGAGGGACTGTGAGACTCTTATCTCCAATAAACCACTAGAAAACCGGAAGTGGCTGTCAGTGGCTCATGCCTATAATCCTACTCAGAAGGCTGCGATCTGAGGATCACAGTTCTAAGCCAGCCCAGGCAGGAAAGTCTGTGAGACGCTTATCTCCAATTAACCACTCAGAAAACTGGAAGTGGTGCTGTGGCACAAGTGGTAGACTTCTAGCCTTGAGTTGAAGAGCTGAGGGACAGCACCCAGGCCCAGAGTTCAAGCCCCACGACCGACAAAAAAAAAGGGGGGGGGGAGAATGCTGGTTTTACATCAGTGTATTAATCTTGACCTTATTTAAATCATATTCAACTTAGTTACATACCAATGCTACTCATAAACTCTATCTTTCAAAACATGCTCATACAATCTGCTACATATCCGAACCTTCTGGGTTTTATCTCCCTCCCTTTTAACAAGCAGCACACTTGATAATTAATTTCTTTAACACAAAGTTCACATGAGTTACAAATTGCAGTTGAAAAGCAAATATATATATATATATTGCCAGTCCTGAGGCCTGAACTCAGGGGCTGAACACTGTCCCTGAGCCTCTCTGTGCTCAAGGCTTACACTCTACCTCTTGAGACACAGTACAGCACCACTTCTGGCTTTTTCTGTTGATGTAGTACTGAGGGATCAAACCCAGGGCTTCCTGTATGCTAGGCAAGGCCTCTACCACTAAGCCACATTCCCAGTCCCCATAAGCTTTACACCATTGTGACAGTTTTCATGCATTATGAGATTACTTTGGACATGTTCACACACATACACACGCACATACTTGTGCACAAAGTTTTAAGGCACCCCTAGGTTTAAAAAAAAAGAAAATTGGCCATCACTTTAGAACTTTAGGTCAACACTAGAAAAACAGGCAACACCGAACAAAATAATGAGAACAGAAAACGTGTGAGACAATTTTGGTAAGGCTCAGTGGGAGAGTGGTCACATGAAAACCTACCACTTGGCCTTTGTCTCTTCCAAGGTAGTTATCAAGCTCCGGGGCCTGCAGAGAATTGGGAGAGGGAGGGGCTCCTATAGCCACCTCTTAGAGGAGATTTACCTCAAGGAAGAAATAAAAAATCCAGGTTCTGAAGTGAGTAGACTCAGGAAAGAGAAAAGGAGCAGATTAGTGTCTGAGTCCTAAAGACAAAAAAAGGGTAGTTTGTTTTGGATATGCTGTCTGTCTAACTGCTCCCATTATGGGATTTGGGGAGTGGGAAAAGGAGAGAAAAGTAAGAGAGAAATCTCGCCCTAGTGTGTTTGCTGGCCAGCCACTGTCAGTGATGGAGTTCAAGCAAGGCTGTTAGCTTTTGGCTGTGACTACATTTACAAGACAAGAAAGTCCCTTTACCTTTGGAGATTTTTCAGTTAGGTCCAGAGTGGAATGTCCTGCTTGGAGTGATGAAGACTTTCACTGAGCCTAGGTCTTAGTGATCTGCCTGTGGCCAACCTGTGAGCATGCACACCTGGTGCTTTGCTTTACCTGAGGGATAAGACAGGAGTCATTCTTTCAAGAGGCTTATGTAATGATGGTAGAGATATGTTTATCGTGTAATAAATCCTTCTTGAATTGGAACAGTTGAGGCTTTAAATATACACAAATATTTCCACCAAATGAATGTTCATCTTACATCCAAATAGACTTAAGCAGTTAAATGTAAGTGCTATTAGCTATGTATTAACTTAAAAACCACATAGAAACCAAAAAATATGGAGAGAAAGAGGATAAAAGGAGAAAGGCTGAAGGACAGGAAGATGTAAAAGAGTTGGAAACAAAGCCTATCACCGTTTATTACTAACAGCCCCAATCCATTTAAATGTCAGTCAGTTAGACAGGTAGGTAGTTAGACAGGTAGGTAGGTAGTTAAATCTGGTTTGTCATTGTCAGGAAAATGGAGGAGAACAGAAAAGGAACAGACAAGACTTGATTCTTAACAGGCTAGGACTGTTTATTGCCAGCAAGGGGCATAGACCTCTCCATGGGAATGGAGGTATGTGAGGGACTGGACTTCGGGATGGGCCAATCTGGGTCTTAACAAGTAAGAAGAGCATAAAAAATAGGCTATGGTTTTTTGGGGGCAAGGGTAGTGTCCTTGGCCAGGCTCAGAGTGGAATACTCTACCTGGGATGAGGAGCTTTCAGCTAAGCCAAGGTTGAAATTGAAAACACCCATGCCAGAAGACCACACAGACACAGTCATGTACAGGAAAAGGAGGTTTATCAGAGGGGCTGGCAAGGCCATTTCTCTCAAGGGAGGGGGAGCAAAAATGGCACTTGTCCCTATCCAGGGGGATAACATTGGGGCTAAAAGTGGGAGATACTCTGCATGCACAGCTAGGTCTGGGTGGAGAGTAGGAATGCTGGCCTATCCTGGATAAACTGGCTGGAGCCTTGGGAGTCTTTGTGAAGAGCAGGATGGAGTTTAGGTTTGAGTGGAGGGCATTCCACTAACGCAGCTGGTATGTGTGTGGGTGCTCTGGGAAGTGAAGTGGGAGGAGCTAAGGACCTGAGATGGAGGGCATGCAAACATTCCCCGCTTTGTTGTTTAATAAGTATGAGTACCAGGCTGGGAGGTGGTTTCTTCTGAAGCTACTTCCTGCTGTATAAGGGCAAAGTAGTCATGGGTCCCTGATTTGTTGTTTGGGTATTGTCCAAGAAGTATCTGCTTGACAATTTGATTGGTAAAGGCCCTCATCTTTTCCATGAGAATAGTTATCCAAAATGCAAGGCACAGTTAGCAGAAAACAAAAAATTACTGCTAGCAGATCCAAGAGAGGAATAAGCCAAGGAGGGATTGATTCCCAGAAGGGGCTGTTATAAGATTTTAGGCAAGGAAAGAACACACAGGAGGAGGTAAGGGTGAAGAAAGGAAAAGTTTAATGGGGTACGCTCCCAGGCGACTCCCTGGTCAGGATCAGAGAGGTCACCCAGAATCTGGTTGTAGCAGGGTTTCTATGGCTAGGGTCAGCAGGAACTTTTAGCATGTAACTTGTTTTGCAAGTTTGAGCGGTTTCAGGCTAGTGCCCCCAAAGAATAATTGGGACAGGTGGTGTACAAGGAAGCGGATTTTCTCACTGCCTCTGCTCTCCAGCAGCCTGTCAGCTATCAAAGACCAGAGATTGCCTTCCCCATCTTGGAGACATATTGCATGGTACCTGAGCACCCATATCTTAGGATCACA